TGCACCCCAGCCCCGGCCACGCAGGGAGACCCCCGCCCTGCACCCAGCCGCCACGCGCGGCCCTCGGAGCGCCCCAGTGCAACCCTCCGGGCTGGGACCGCCAGTGCTGAGAGCGCCGTGACGAGGACAAGCCACGGCGCACCTCACCCCTTGCTCACCTCAAGAGTTCTGTCTGCTGAACAGACTAAAGCTTTGGAAGAGCAGCTTCAAGAAACGACTTGCTTTTCTAGAACCACATCTTACGTAGTGGATTCACAGGTCAAAAATATTACTCAATTAATTTTATAATTACTCAGGCTACAGAATACAAACGCATGTAACTGGAACTACACCGAGGAAAAGGTTGGATGGAGTCTCAGCCATTTGACTCTGCTTCACCATGGAATATATCACAATAATAAACATTTAAATATATGTCATTTTTCTCAGACAACGACTTACTCAATTTTTATGGATAGCGAAAAAGAAGATTTACAAACCATACCAATTAATTTCCACATTAAAGGAGCTAGGAGAAGGGAGCAGCTAATACATATCAAAAGGATCTCTAAATTTATCTTTCTTCACAAGACATCTGGTAATCGGGAATCAAAGCATTACCGGGCACGTTGGTCTTTGAAGGCAGCAAAGTCACACCCGCTTCAGCCCGCCTGCGAGCACCCATCACCCGCCAGCTCCCGCTGGGCTTCTGGAAAGGTGAAGGAAACCCTGGCAGGGCGCTCGGGAAGGCCAGGGATGTCCAAGGGACAATGCGAGGACCCGGCTGGGAGCGGAGCCACGAGCAGCAGTGCCATGGACAAGCGCCTGGCAGTGGCTGCTGGCGCTGGCAAGCGGTGGCACCGGCCACGATAAAGCCCCGTGTGAGGAAAGCAAACACGGCGAGAGGACACCAGACGAGCGAGGATGCTTCTCACGCTCAGCTCTCTGTGAGATCTACAGGCACAATTAGGCCACCTTGCTTAAATTAAACTCTGCTAACGTATTCTCCAACTCTACACCACGGCAGAAGACAGACAACGTGCAGGTTCTTCACTGTTTCACAGAGGTATTTCATCACCTTGCCCTGTGTTTTCCCAGCGCTCTGGCTCTCCCACTTCCCTCCCCCAGGGATATCCCCGGCAGCTTGTTCTCTGCTCCCGCAGCACCCTACGAGCCAGCCCTCGGGCGCTGCCCTGCGATGCGCCCGCACAGCCCGCCTCCCTTCTGGCCAGGTTTCTCAACCAAAGCCCTAGCGCGCCTTCTGGGAACCCGCTTGTAGAGGATGAGCGGAACCCTGAGACGTCCGCCGCTGCACCAAACGTTACTTCGCAAGTCGCTGGTTTTGCAGGAATTCCAAGGCAGCCGGCACAGCCCGGGTTTGCGCAGCTTTCGCGGGGGCACAGCTGGCCCTGACCACGTCCTGCAGGGGCACCGCTGGCGCTGGGCTCAGGCACCACGGCCGACGCGGTGCTCGGAGCCTTTGGGGGCCAGGCTGCTGCGCAGCTGTTGGCAGTACGTCCGGGCACTTCCAGCTCTCGACTCTTCTGCTCTTGCCATCAAATAATCCCTGAAGCAACAAGTCTGGACGGCCCCTTAGCTGCTGACGGAACAGCCACACGCAAATTGCCGCTGGGATTCTGTCACTCGAGCACGGAGCAGCTGGACATGCAGCAACACACCTGGGAAATGGTGCTTAATGGCGCTGGGATTTATTTTTTCTTTTTAACAGGGAAATCGCATCAACCTCTCTTCCAGCTCTGCTTCTTTCTCGTTTTAACTATTTCTCTAATCCTAGGAAAAAAGCTTTTTCTTCCTATTAGAATGTTGATTCTTTTACAGTCTTCATTATCACATCGGTTTAAGAAGTAGCCAAGACCTTTTCATTCACGCGTGCGCATGTGCACACATGCATGAGGAACAAGGAAACACCTCTACCAACCTGATGTCAAGTTTTCATTAATCATTACAAGCATTAATGCAAACACACAAATGTCAATTGGCAGATCTAAATAAGCTGTTGCCCAAGTGAAATTCGGCAGAGGAGTTTCCCCCGGCTGAGGCTGAAGAAATGAAACAGGAGAGCGAGCCTCAACCGCGCCGGCACAGCTCTGGGAGCTCCAGTTCGATACCAAGGACAACACACGGCGTGATTTCTTTCGTCACGGCCGCTCTTACCCTGCTCTTTAAGAACTGAAGGTTGGTCTGAAGTACGGAGCAGGGACGTCCCGGTGTGCGGAGGCTCTCGCGCAGGGGCAGGCGTCATCCCTCCTGTTGGAACCTTACAGACCTCTGGCATGGAGACGCTCTGCACTGCCAACGCCCGAGGCAACCTCTTGTCTTCCTCCTTTGGAAAGCTCCCTCACAGCACCCAAACAGGCAAGCTGAAGCCCCAGGGAGGGACTTGGGGGCTGTAGCTTTTGCTCGAAATAACAGCATCACTGGCACAGAACGCCTAGGTGACCTTCTGCAGCACGCTGTTCTTTAGGCGCTCACACATGAAATACATTTCCACAACATTTTGGACAGTCAGCACACATAAAATAAGATGGAAACAAAAAAAATAATAAAATAAAATAACAAAAGAAAGGCCTGAAAGCCACTGTGCACGTCAGGAGTCATTTATTTTTATAGCTGTAGCTGAACACTGCAACCGTTTCCCCCAAGTATCATGTCAAGAGAAAAACCCCTCAAGCTTGCGCTTCCCCCTGGAGCCCAGGGGTCCCCGGCCACCCTCGGGGCAGGCAGTGGGCTCTGGCTCGCTGTGCCACGGAGGGACGCCAAGCTCCTGGAAAGCGAGGTGGTGGAGGGCTGCGGGGGGCCCGTGCCGCTGGCCCCCAGACCGGCTCTGCTCCCCAAGGAGCAGACCCAGCAGAGCGCTGTGAGGGCTGCTGGGATCACCAAAGATCTCTCCTCCCCTGCGCGCCCTGGGAAAGGACAGCCAGCAAGAAGCGTGTTGACCCTCCACTGGCAACCGGCGCACGTCTTTGCTCAGGTTCACTCTTTTCTCGTTAATTAACCATTTTTTCCCCCCCTCTCTAACTTAAGTGCATAAAATAAACTGCAGCCCGACAATTAAGCTACTGCGACGTATTTCCAACATAATCACGCACCTTTTTTTGCCCCTAAACTCCGCAGCGTAATTACTAACGATGTGTTCCCGCACTCGCTGTAATGCTGCCGAAGGATGCGCTGGAGACGGGAGGATAAAGATATCTGATTAAAGAGACTTCTCTGAGGCTCCACGGCAGGTAGAGAGACATGAATAATTCACAGTATGAAAAGTAAAGGTGAAGTAGCAAAACTGTCTTGGGTATATCACAGAGATGTAGGTGTACGATCATAAACATCTTATTAAAAGCAGAATTAGAGAGGGAGAGGAAGAGGGAAGATTGATTCATGCCACAAGAAGCTACGGACAAAAGACAAAAATTTGTTTTGCAAAGGTATTTAGAGGCCAAACCTCCATTAATCTCAAAAGAAGTTTAAAATTTTGATTCTAAATGTTTCCAAGAGCTGTATTTACTTCACACGCACCTATGTAAACACTCGGGGTTTTATTATCCCATCAGTATCTCTGCAGGTCCGTTCTGCCTCTCCCCACAACTTTATTGCTTTTGTTTTTTGAGATTAGCCTAAAAACTGTATCTTCTCTAACTGACTCACACCTCCTGCTCTGCGGGTTCTTGCTTGAGGCAAGGGCGGGATTTCAGTGCCAGCTACATCAGCCGGGTCCCTGCCCCACTCCCGCAGGCAGGGATCCCACCTTCAGCCCATTACCACTGCTCCAGGGAAAAGACCCTGCTCCCGCCTGCACCCTGTACTTTACCCTTGAATTCCTATTTTCTGCTTTGACCAGTTTCGCTGTGCCCTGCCACACGCTCTGTCTCCCCGCCCACAGCAAGTCTCCTTGAGCAGCGCTTTCTTCCTTCTGCAGCAACCTCTTCCCACCCACCCTTTAATTTTTCTGGACATTTGTAACGGGAACAGCAGGAGACCAAGGATCCACTCTTTTTCTCTGGACATCCGTAACGGGTAGAAGACCAAGGACCCATTCTTTGCCCACTGTACCCTACCATGGGATGTGTGCCTGGTGCAGAAGGCAAGGACAAACGAATTTCTTGGTTGGACTCTCAGGCACACAGCCAGCGCTGCCCAAGAGACGCTATTTGCCACTACCCTGAAAGTAAATTCTCTGTCAAAGTGGGAAAAGGTGAAAAACCCCTACAGACATATTCCCTTGAACCATCCCCATCTCCCAGAGCGGCCCCCGGGCATTCGCGTCCCACGGAGCTGCCAGGCAGGAGCAGGGCTACACGCACCGCTCCGAGCATCGCTGCCCGCCGACAGCGGGCACAGCGCGGGGACCCGTTCGTTCACCTCCTCCCTCCCTCCCTCCCCGAGGCAGCTGCACGCCCGCTGGCAGGGCACTTCTACCCGGTTTTGCGTTTCCCCCTCCTTCGAGCCGCTGTGCCGTATCTCAGCTCCTCTCTCCAGCTGTTTCTGCACCTCTGCCCGCTGGCCCAGGCTGAGCCGGGCTCTCAGGCACAGCCCTCGGCTGACTCTTGCCGACCTTCCTTCCTCTGCTCTTTGCATGTCTTTTTTTTTTTTTAAATACCAAGTTCAAGATCTTGGCCCCGACCTTCAAGGCACGCAATGGTCTGAGATATTCACAGATGTTTCACAGAGTTATGAAATGATGCAGAGCTCTGCGAGGCTGGTACTTACAGCTCCACCTCTCTTGTACCTACTGTAACACAAAAAAATTGGATTTGTACTTCAGACTGGACTTTTCCAGCTTCAAACAGAAAAATAAATGCTTCCTAGAAGCCAGGACCATTGCAAAATTTACTCCTTCCGCTTCAGGAATACAGAAAATTTTATTAATTTTGTCTTCAGAGAAAGCCAGAGAGAAAATCCAACTGTGCCAAGCCTCGCTGAACACCCAATTTTCTCTTTAGAAACCAAGTCATCAAAAGGCTAATCTGAATTGCTCGACAAAAGCAGGCCTGTAATGCCAGATAAAGTCTGTGTGTCAGCTTAACACCATCACTGCACGTGCTGGCAGCAACACACGGTGGCACAGACCTGTCTATGTACCGGCATGTGAGATGCACGGCTTAACGTGCTGCTATTCCAGTTGTCTGTCCTAGTCCTCTCTCAGAAACAACCACCCCCGTGTTTCAGTGCTCCTGGGCTGGAGACACCCAGGGCATTTTTAAAGGTCCAGAGCTTTTAAATAATTAAAAAAAAAACCCATAAAATGAACACACAAACAGCCCTGGAGGATGGTGTCCAAAGAAGGGCAAGTGTGTCCAGAGAAGGGCAGTGAAGCTGGTGAAGGGCCTGGAGCACGGGTCTGGTGAGGAGCGGCTGAGGGAACTGGGGTGTTCAGTCTGGAGAAGAGGAGGCTGAGGGGAGACCTCATCGCTCTCTGCAGCTGTCTGAGAGGGGGTTGGAGTGAGGTGGGGGTCGGTCTGTGCTCCCAGGTAACAAGCGAGAGGATGAGAGGGAACGGCGTCAAGTTGTGCCGGGGGAGGTTTAGGTTGGACATGAGGAAAAGTTTCTTGACTGAAAGGGCTGTCAAGCACTGGAAGAGGCTGCCCAGGGCAGTGCTGGAGTCTCCATCCCTGGAGGTGTTTAGCAGACGTGTAGAGGTGGCGCTTGGGGACGTGGTTTAGTGGTGGCCTTGGCAGGGGTGGGGTAAAGGTTGGACTCGATGACCTTAAGGGTCTTTTCCAACCTAAACGATTCTGTGGTTCTCTCTCTCCACCGTTATCTTTCCGCCTGCCCAACGCTGCTGGCTCAGAGCAGGCTGGTGTGCTTGGGTTTGCCACCCAGGCACTGGAAGGTCTCAGCACCAGCTCCTGCTCTGCAGTGGCCAGGGGGCAGCTCAGCCCCAGCCCCCACCGCCCGCTGACACCAGGACAGGTCACCCACGGGGCTTTGCCAGGTTCCGAGCATCTCCTAACAGTTTCCTGAAGCGCACATTTGCTTTTCTTTCACACGAGGCTGACGTGTGAAATCACCTTTATTACTGTAATTTGCTCTTAATTATGATTCCTCCTTTGACTGTTTTTCCACTGGAGATAACGACAGTTTGCAGCAACCTATAGAAAAGAGTGTGATCGCCTCAAAAACATTAAAGAAAAATCCATACTATACTTGACTGAAATTACCACTTTTCTCTTAGATGTAATTGGCAGGAAATCAAAAGGAGGAAGGAGGTATTTCGTATTTCCAGGAGTAAGCTGGAAACAAGAATATCATGTTCATCTTATTTACACTACTTGTATGCATATAAAAATAAAACAATCGGTCTTCCAAAGTGACGGCCTCCCAACAGGATAGCCACTCCATTTGGGCAACGATTGACCCAATGTCACACTGGACCCGTCATCAGAAGTCATCTAGTCATCAAAAGGCTTTATACAGTTAAATCCTTACTCAGCACAAGGGATAAAAATCAGCAGTGTTTGTGTTTTCAAGTCTGCCAGTAAGCAGATTATGAAATATATTTGATATGAAATATATTAGAAACCACGATTTCAGTTTTCAACAAGCAACAAGGTGCAGATCAGCATGACCCTTGCACAAATCTTTATCTTTCTGTCCCTGCGTTCTTTGAAGAGTTTTAGTAATTCCTCTGTCTCACTTGCTTCTGACAAGGAACCAAGTCAATACAATTCTGGGTGACTTTAAGGAGGAGTACGCAGGTCTTCAAGCACAATAACTGCACAGGCGATAAAAGTAGCAGTTGTTTACCAAAAGAAAACCAAACCAGACAAGAAACTTTAAACTGAAGTATGTCAAAAGAGACGTGTATGAACTTTCCTTCAGTTTTAAGGTGTCTGTGTCATAAAATTTTCAGCGATTCCCAGGCAGAGCTGGAACACTCGGCAACATAAAGTCACTCAGAAGATCTTACTCAAGACAGGTACGGCAGCAGGCAGACCTGCTTCAAAGGGAGCCTCCAGCGCCACTTAGGGATTTGCCTGGCACAGCTGATCACGAAGTATTTTATGAAACTTTTTTCTTAGCCGTGGGTAGAGCCAGCGAGCCTGAGGTACCCACAAAGGAAACAGCTGGGCTGGACGAGCGAGAGCTTCCACGCCAAAAATCTGTGCATGAACAACCGCAGCAGAAGTACGCTCATTTCTAGCTCTTCAAAACCTCCACAACCGTGCTCATCCCTAGGTATGAAGGATCAGATTAAATTACGCCTGAACTGATACCTAGTAATTCCCGATGAATGCCAGGCTTTTCCATGGAACACGGCTGGGAAGCTGCATCCAGGACCCCGCGGTGCCACAGGGCCGGTTGGCACGCCCTCCCCATGAGGGAGCAACCTGTCCAGCCCCACTGCAGCATCTCACCTCCACGAACAGAGTTCCTGACTTCATGACGACAGTACTGTAAGAGGGATTCCACGCTATTAGGAAGGATGTTCCCATTTTCCTATCAAAATCCGATCGCTTTTTGATTGTGACCTGCAACGTGATTATACGCGACTCTGAACCAAGCCACCAGACTTCCTCCAGCCCTTGGGGACAGCACTGCGCCTTCTCTCACGGCCACACACACACATTCCCATGACAGTGAACAAACCAGTTTTATCCGCACAGCACAGCATAAAGCATCCAACGAGGCTTCACGGAGCAGCTATCCAAAAGATCACCCCTCATTATCACTGTAATGCTCGTGAACACCACTGGCATGGGACACGAAAAGCCCAAGGACATTTCAGAAACTTCCCTCCTGTATCACCAAACGCAAAGCTACTGCCGATGGCCAGACTGAGTCAACAGGATCCAAAACACTCTGAATACACTCGTAGTTAGCTAAAGCAAATGTCATAAAATTTGAGCCGATTTTTTAAGGGTCTCCCATTTCCACGCGGTACGGAAAGCGCGGCTCGGTTGGAAGTACGCAAACACACAGCATGTGTTTCAGTAACATAATTGGTCCGTAGAAACGTAAACAAACCTGCTAAGGTCTGATCCATCAAATTGGTTGCCATGAAGGTCACCGCCGGCGCAGACACAGCAGTTACCCGGGTCACTTGCGTCGGCATCAAAGCACCCACGTGAGCATCCATTCTGGAGGCAGAACCTGCATTCAAACCAGAAGAAAACTTTTTTTTTCCCCAGTAAACAAAAATGCCTTTAAAAAACTCACTTTTTTTCCCATCCGTATTTCACAGGACACTCTTTTAACCTCCTGCTAAACATCTCTCCCTATACCCGTTCGCATGGTTAAAACAACAGGTTTTGCGTTGAGTCACTGGTCTAGTCTGGCCGTGATGTCCATTGACTCTCAGCAAATAACCATCTGTGGAAATTTTAAATTAATGAAAATTTAAATTAATAAAAATGTGGCCCTCAAAGTAAGAATTTGCAAGGATATAGTAATGCTTTCAGAACAGATTACAGCAAGATCAGTTTTCTTTTTTAAGGCTAAAGAACACACCTGCGGTTTCTACTGTTACTCATCACAAACTCTTGGTGCCCTGCTCTATCCGCGGGAAATTATTTTGCCAAACCAGCAGCTTTATCCAAGTAAATCACAGTCTGCTCAGACAGTTCACAAAACAGAAAAATTGACCAAATACATTATTGGTCATAAATTAGTAACCCTGGTCTGCTGCTACAACTACGCTGATTAAACCAGGCTACTTAATCCATGAGAATCCACGGCTATCGCCGAATCTGAGGCCAAACCTCGAGCGTTAGTTTCCCATTACCTGTGAGAAGCTTTTCTTCAGAAACTGGAAGACCCACACCACCCCATCTCACCTCAGACCTAAACTCGGGTGCCCCATCAGCAGTCTCCGCATCCTGTTCCGAGGCCACCACTGCAAAACTGAACTGGCAGTCGGGACGTACCCCCAGTTCCAGGCAGGCACTGGGAATAACGTCGTATTCCCCAAGCACGAGCCAAGCTGCAGAATTTACTGCCCTTTTGTTTCACTAACTATTCCGGTGCTGTCCAACACTTCTCACCCCAACTTGCTGCATTTCGCACTAGTAGGGATCATTTCTGAAACCTTCACTCTGTCATAAACACTCACTCGCTCGCTACAAACCTCTTCATTGATTTTTGTTTCTCCGACCTCAGGTGCCAAAGCAGATTATTAAACTCTCACCAACACGGGGACACCAGCCGCTTTTCGAATGCAACTCTAACAACATTTTTTTATTAAAAAGGTCGCTTTTTCTTCCTCAAAACTACTCTTGGGTATCGTCTGGGCTAGCGGCAACAGGAGAGGGTATTTCCTCATCGCTTCGAGACGTGGAGCAGCACAGCCATCCCTGCCAGGGCAGAGGCACCTTCCCATCCCGCAGCCGGAGCTGGGAGCTGGACCCTGCCTACGGGCCCTTGAAAAGGCACAACGCGTTCAAAAGGGGGGTAATTTAGCGACAATAACAACATCAATGATGATGCTGATTCTGCTCATGAGGGGTGCGTTTTGCTGTTAGGCAGACGTACATTCTATATAATATAATCTGAGTCACCTGTACGACAAACAAAACACACACCCTGAAATTCACGGAGATTTTTCCTCTTCTTTCCGCCACCCCCTTGTCTCCCACCCCAACGACCCGGCGACAGCAGCGGAAGCCATAAACTCTCCAAGAAAAGATAAGTCTGAGGATTTTGCAGTAGATTGCTCAGTGAAGAAGAAACTGGGACTACAGAAAGCCTAAAGAAACCCCCGTTGACGCCACCCAGAGCCTGCCCGGTGGCATGCCCATGGACCTGCCACGGGTCTCTGGCCTCACCCGGAACCCAGAGGTTTCTGCCAGGCACAAAGGTCTCTGGTGAGCACCAAAGAGAACAGTGCCATTGTAACGGGCTTCCTGGTGGTCCGAGCAACGTTAAACACCTGCTTTTGCCCAACGGCAAGCAAGAATTCCACTGCTACTACAGAAACAGGGAAAGCCCATTGCCTTCTACCCGGACCTGGTGACATTTTCTACAAAAACACAAATCCGACGCCTGCGGGGCTGCTTTTTTTTCCTAGCAGCATGTTTTCAAAGCTGCCATTTGAACGCATTTTCTCATATTATCAAGTATGAATTCCTGAAGGAAGAAATTCCTGAAGGAGGCTGGAATTCAGGCTATCACGGGGCTTTGTGGGATTCACCCTCACAACAGGCAAAGAACTTAAAATATAGTACACAATTTTAATCAAATTCCTATATTTAATAATAATCTTTTACAACAACAGAAATGGATATAAAATAATAAACCTCATGAAAGAAATAACATTTTATAAAATTAGAAAGTCATAGTCCTATAAAGGGGCAACATGGCTAAAGAACTGCCCAGGGAAAAGTATAGCTTTGCCAAAAGATAATCTTAGGGAAAAGCAGGAGGTTCATGAAGCTTTAGGAGCTGGGGCCATAACACCAACTTCACTGAATGTTCGCTAATGTATTGGCCAGACACCAACATCCTATTAGCCAGGGTCCTTACAGACGGTACCCGGTGCAGGACGACGTGTTAACTTTAAAAGCCAACGAAACACCTCAGAAAACCATGATCCCCAGCCAGCCAGGAAAAAAGAAATGAGTTTCCAAACGTGCCGACTGGAACGACCGGGAGGATAGTTGCAATGTTCCCGTATGAACAACTGGAAAAGGAC